AAGATTTTGGTTCAAATACTTCTATCCAGTATTAATCTCTGGGGTGATAAATTTGATAGATGATAATTGTTCAAATCGATTGACTTTGGGACCGGTTAAACGGTTAAACGGTTAAATCGCGGTTTAAATAATGATTTTCTACATTTCTACCAATACCGTAAAAGCCCCGTGTTCAGACCCGGTCTTGTACATAATAGACCCGGGTATTTTCACATGTCAGCTGATCTCAACGTGACACGCTCTATGTACGTAAAACGCCATCTAAACGATTTCTCCACTTTACATATCGATATGATATAATATACATGATAATATACTCACCTTTTATTATACCCCTTTACACAAGACCCCAATATAGTATACCCTTCTCTTTATATTGTATCCTCCTGGGTCTAAACAAGTTATTCAAGGGTAGAATGTAAGAATTTGCACAGTATCTGTTTTGGCATGCGCATTTCTGCAATTTCTCCTTCAGAATGGTTATTTAATGATGTAGGAATATCATAACACTGAAATTAGAGTGTTAAATTAAGGGTTCAAATCATTAACATTTCTGAGGCTGGTTCACTAAGAATTGCTCCATATTATTAGAGTATACGTATAATTTTTATATCACTAATCGACAAATCACGAATTAAAAAATATCGAGTATTTGACACAGTACAGCATGTAACATTATCTGCAAGTAACGTGTGCGGATTTCGAAAAAGATGAAACGAAGCATATAAAACATAGCTAAACCGAAAATGTAGAACTGAACAGGATAACAAAGAAAGGGAAACTTAAAAATGAAAGTAGAGTTTGTATACGATAAGTTTCAAGTCGAAGTGCCGGTTTGACTTAAAATGGTCATTGAAGGTGCATCCCATTAATGTATTGCATCATGTTTACATATACCAGTGAAGTTGCGGTTGTGATTGCGGTGGGAGTTGAATATGAATATCGTAAGTTGTGTATAGCGGTGGGATTGCAGTTGTGGTTATTATTATACACAGGGTATTGCTTCTGCCAGGATTTAATAATCGGAATCAATGACTCGTGCATTCAGAATAATCGAAGGGAGGAAGATAAAAAAAATACAAAGTAATAAATGTGCGTATGGATAAAGAAAATGAAATTGTATTTATAAGAAACTTTCAATAAAGATAAACGAGTAATAAAAAGAAGGACTTTCAATAAAAATAAACGAATGACAAAATGAAGGATTAACGATGTATATAAAAAAGAAAAGTGACGCGTGCGCTTATTAAATGAAAATACTAGGTTGAATATATAGAGAGAAAATAGTATAATAGTATAATATTATTGCTTTAAAATATAAGAAGACGATTCTAGGAAAATAGGTTCCAATAAACTTCGAAAGAAATATACGAATATCAAACATAAATAAAACAAAAAAAATAGGATTTAATAAATAAGCAATAAATATACGAACGAGTATCGAGTATCGAATATCGAATATGAAAATGAACAAACAGACAATGAACGCTAATTCATTATTAACGATACGATTCTAAGAGCACAACCGAAATATTATTGTCATTTTGATTTGGCATGGTAGTAAACGGGTCATTGAAAATATTATTGCTTCCATTTATAATATTAGAATGTGATGGTGGTGGTGGTGGTGGTTGCAATGGTTGGTTTTGCTGTAGGTTATGCTGCTGGTTTTGCTGTAAATTCTGTTGTTGGTTTGCTCGTTGCATGATTTTTAGAGTTGTTAGAAATAAGCGAAAGTTTCAATTATAGAAGCAGCGGTTTTTTTTAAGTATATATTTTCTTCAGGTAGTATCGATACGATATTTATACGTCTTTATGAACCATAGATTACTTAAAATCGATTGCTTGACGAATGGATTCTTTGATCCAATGACTTCATTTTTTAAAAAGTTGTCAGTTTTCTGTGCTGTCCGCTGCCGATTACTGTTTCATTCTCAGCTCCAGGCTCCGTAATATATGTGCATCAAAGTTTAAAAGCCTACTGCATTCATAGGAAAATCCACTATCATATGATGTGTCACACATGTATGGCTTTTCGACATAGCGAATTTTCTTTTCCTATATCGATATGGTGCCCACGTTTTTAATTAAATATCTTTTCATAAAACTGATCGATCCACATTAAAAATGAAACTTTTATATGGAGACAATACAACCTCCAAACTCTTGTAAAAAAACGGAGAACAAGAGCGTAAAATTCAAAAAGATTAGTGAGAAAAGAATAACTGAAACTAGAACCATTATTACATTGTCACTCACTCTTGCTATTTGGCTATTTTCGCGCATTCACTTACTTATCGCACATACACAGGCACACACACCGTGCAGCAACCAAAGCAGCATTTATCGTCTTATTTTATATTATTCTAAATACTTATCACCACTGGTATCAATGGTATCTGCTCATCCATTGAATGTCTAGTTCTCATTCTTATTCATTCATTCCATAATCAATTAATCAAATACAATACACTTTGATTAGGCTATAACGAAAAATTAAAAATAATATATATCAGGATTCGCAATTTTGCATTATTCCTTTTCGCACGAACAAAACAAATAATTATAAGCGTATATCATACACAGGGTACACTTATTAAATATTCTTTTTCTTGTCAATTGTCGCACGCATCACTAATAAATAACATTTTTGATAGCAAAGATTATAAATAAGGATGTGTTGAAGTATGCAACGTTGTTTTGTATCTGTCGTGTCTCAAGTGTCGATCTGCGCCAGGTATCACTTAGTCCAAATTAGAATAGGAGTTATGGTTAGGGTTAGGGTTAGGGTTAGGTTTAGTGCTGGAGAAACAAATTAATGTTGGCTGAAGGCGAACACGTGAAGCGCTAAATGACGCAAATCGTACAACATATACAAAGTAGTTTTAAAAAAATAATATTATATTCGGTCAGATGAGACTCATAATAAAAAATTCTCTGCACGTTGACAAGCACAACTATAGACAAAGAATCTGTCTATTTGTCAACCGACAAATGTTGCAGTGAACTGTTCCAATTCTTTGGGAAGCACCGGTTTAGAATCAAGATATATTCTATCAGTTGAAATCTCCATATACCCGTAACAATACTTATATGCATGCGTGCACAGCTTTCTTGCAGAATCTACAATAGCGTTTCAAATCAATAACTGGTTTCCAGAAATATAACCGGTCCCAACCTGTATATGTGGGAGGGGAGCCGATAGACTTGTCCCTTTTCTACTGACTCTCCCCCATAAATTCCAATATAGATGTGCAAGTTATGACTATTGTTATGTGACGATTAAGTAGTATAACACAATACGTAATGTGTTCAAACTTTCATATAAATGCTCAAGTCATGACTATTTTTATTCATAATTGTTCAAAAGAAATTTTCAACCTACTATTTAGTACACTTTCATGAATTAGAAAATTTTTCAATAAAAGGTTGACATCTTTTGAATTACTTTTTTTTAAATAGACTCTTAACGTTTTCATTAAGTATAGGTATTCGCTCTCTGTTGTTTACAAATACGGTTATATACTTTCCTTACAAAGAAATCTCTCTCCACAATGTTTACAATATTAATGTAACACTATACAATTATTATCCTTAATTGGCATACATCATATATTGACAGATTTAAAACTTCCCTTTACGTAGACTATTACACTATACACAAAATTATTGTTTACAATGAGAGTGCGTCAAGTACATGTATAATGACAACATCAATTATATTAAACAGACAAAATAAAATCTGGACCTTTTATGGGGGATCATGAAAAAGGTAATATTAAAATTTGACTTGATTAAGAGGCCGCGGATTTGTAGCTATTGACCCTTTTTCCTGTATTACTTTATAACGAACTGACGTTTCTGTTAGTAAGAAAAAGTTCGCTACATAAAATCCCTATATTTTCTATAACGAACTAATATAAATTTAAAATTTAAAGTTCGTTATATCCAGAGAGTTGACTATAGCGATAGTCTTTATTTCCATCGTGAACTGTACCCACCCTATTTCATTTCGTTTTAATATCCGAAGTGATCGACATACCCTATTTCATTTCGTTTTAATATCCGAAGTGATCGACACACACCATTTATGGTTATATAGCCCACTTAGGTAGGTTATAAATGGTGTGTGCAGATCACTTCGGATAATCGAATGTTGACTGTAATACCGTAAAGCACGACTCAAGTTACTTATTTTAATAATATAAATTCTCGAAGAAACTACACTGTGAATCTTGAATTATTCAATTTGCAGAAAAATAGTCGGTTTAAGGTTTAAGAGAATCTGCGCTTTACGGTACAATAAATCATATCACGTAGAATTTGTCGAACAAGTTTTATAAAACCGAAAAGCATTTTCACTTCAAAGTTGTTCCGACCAAAAGGCACAAAACACAAAATCACAGAGGTAGAGCTTACAAATTTTCACAAGATATTCAAGTATTGCCAAAAGATGTATATCAACGGATACATAAACGTCGACAATAGCTGGACTTGTAAATATATGAATCCTGCCGCAGTATTACGGACATGTTAATAGTATTCCAAAAAGTTTGGGATTATCGGCACAGTATGATCTTTTAATTTCAAAAAACAAATACATCCTATAAAGACTTTTGAACATCCTTTCTGCTTGTATGAAAATAATCCTTCCAAGGAAAGTATTCGCTTCAAAAATAGTGACCTTTTTGGTGTACCATTTCTCAGCAAGGAAAAAAGCTGGTAAAGAAAACTATTTGAGCTGGAAGTTTATTTGTGAATTGAGTTGGCAATTCACTTACAAGCAGTATTTGGCACTGGACTGGACTGGTCCATTTGATCAGATTGTCCAGTGACCCAATCCAACCAACTGAATTAATACACTGTTTAATATAGACTCCTCGTGCACGATTCACGTGACCTTCGATCATGTCACAACGTGATTATTGCGAGTATATTTATCATAACCTTTACTATCGTATTATTATTTATATGCCTGTCAAATTATACTTATTCTAGAAATGACAAAAATCGTTGCTCCTACTATAAACGCGCTAACCACATCGGATAATCATCGAACTATCGTAAAGAAGTCCAACGCCCATTCAGTCAGCATCATGGTTTAAGAAAATAGTTCATAATAAAACATACAAAAAAATCTCTACAGTATAGTTGGCATCTGTTACCGAGTGACTTTATACGTTTCACCAAATTTGACATCAGAGTTACGAGATTTTTCTCCAAAGCTTAATTGATAGCCAGTAAAGTTGAGAATTATAGTATAAAGTATGAATTCGAATAGACAATATAGGGAAACATGACCAAGCAGTTTAAGAGGGTGTGCTGTTGTGGCTATCTAGTTATTAACATATTCCTCTTGCAATTATATAGCCAATATAATTTCTGACAATGATGTGTTCGACGAAAAAAATGATACTTGGCAGGTAACCAGGTCACGTGAAAAGATGTAATATTATTCTCAGCGCAATTATTTTTCATTTGATTAATTCTGATCAATCACTTTAGTCTATTTTAGGCTCCTCATTTACAGGACGTTTTTCCTTCCGATTACTCATATATATTTGCAGTGGTCCATGAAATTGAGCCATTAATAACTATGGAAGATATCCAAAACGACAAAACCATCATTGCGTTTTTTGTAACATTGCCTCGGCGGCGGATGCGGCTACGTGGCTCGAGTACTTCCAAGAAAAAACAAAGACATCAATGCGCTATCCAGATCAATGGTTGTAAAGTTATTTTCCATGAATCAAGTTATTGTATCTATAGCCATAAAGTGAAAAACTGAAAATGTTGAAGTTAAGCGTCCTACAAGTGAACGCTGCAGAAATACAGACTGCCCAGCAACAATAAATTTATGGATTAGACGTCGTTATCTCAAAGAATCACATCCTCTTGAAGTGCTTCTCAAATTTACGCAACCATGTTCCAAATTCCTCGGCGTCATTGAGTTTTCGACCTGTTAAAGATCAAACATGGAAAGATTACATAGAACTCTTTAAAGACCAGCGTCCGCACATTATGAATATGGCATCTTATGCAGAGAACAAACAACTGTTTGCAGATCGCGCATACAATCCTGATCCTGGCATCTTTATAACAAATTTCGCACACTTCAACTTAGAGCACGCAGAAGAAGGCGAAAAGATGTGAGACGAAGCGAAGCGAAGCGAGATAAAGCCGTTGATAAATTTATTAATCAACAAAAAGTCAAATTATTAGCCGGTACCAGCTAGGACAGACGAACCTCGGAAGAATAAGACTTATGAACCACATGGAGAAGATATGTTTGAACGTCTTGAACAAGAAATTGTCTTTTATCCGTTTCACCAAAAGAAAGGACAACCGTTTATATTATATATTGTTACGAATTTGATGAAATGAGTTCATCAGGAAATACGTCAAGCTGATGAATTATGTTACATTGACGCGTCATCGTGCTTTGATGCATTGAATACATCAATTACTTTACATTATACTAGCCGTGTAGCAGTGCTCTTCCTCTGACAACCATTCTGCATCCAATGAGACACAAGTAACACGAGAACTTGCAGTAACTCTTTTGAAAAGGATCAGACCAGCCATATGTCATTATTACTGATGATAGTGATGCAGAACACAATGCTATCAAACTGTGTTGGAGGCAAGCAAGAAATCTTCTTTGTATCTTTCATGTACTTCAAGCATTTTGGCGATGGCTTTGGAATGCGAGTCACAATATTCATAAAGATGATCGGCAAAAAATAATGGAACACATGTTCAGCCACGGAAACAGGATGGATTGAAACTTTCTCAAATTTTCAACGGCAATATTCAACAAATTATCCAAAGCTCATTTCTCATATAAACAGACTTTGGTCTCTCCGAGAAGATTGGCTCTTTCTTTCGTGTAGGTTTACTTACCTATGCGAGGAAATTAAACAAACAAAGAAGTTTTGGAATTTTAAAAGACATTGTTTTTGGGCGTACACAAGCATACAAATCCTTCATCTTATTATCAACAATATGGAACATTTTATGAACGTCATTTACTTGCTATTTCAAATAAACAATCTGGAAAAACATTTATTTCCAAGAGATTCGTATGTCGTGGTTGGGAAAATCTTACTTTGAAAAGTGTGATAACGGAACTACTTTTTACATACCTAGCATAACAAGTAAAGAAATTTATACAGTTGATTCATATATCAAGAGCACCTTGTAAACATCAAGCAGCAATAAAGTTTCAAGAAGGAATCTTAAGTTTATAGACAATCTTTCTTTGAATGAATGAGTTATGCTTATATTGCAACTGGTAAGTATTTCTAATGTCAGTTGTATATGATAAACTATTTTTTTATTATTTTGAATTTAGGATCTGTCGTTTGAGAAAATCATTTTATGGAAAATTCAATCATCATCTACTATTATAAACGATAGTAATGAACGAATAATTTCTGAAACTACAACTTTGCCTGATAGAAAACGTGACAAATAAAATTCTAAGTACGTTTAAATTTATTTTATTTTGAAAACTTTCTAATATTAACAATTTATAATAGTTTAGTTGATGAATCTGCCCGGATATTATTCTTTACAACATTTTTGCAAGAAATAAGTGATGTAAAGATAATAAGCAATTACTTGTTACCTTTGAAAAGTTTTAAATGGATATCATAAATCAAAAGAACGTTTCTTCAAATTAGTTAATTTTCTTTGTTTATCATCATATAGTAACAATCCGAAATGGATCACGAATACCTGTTCGAGTTTCTTCAAACGAGTTAATTTCCTTTGTTTATCGTCATGCAGTAACGATCTGAAATGGATCACGAATAGCTGTTCAAGTTGCATCAACACAACGAAGAAAAGAAAGCAAGATATCCTCTGAAAATATTGATGTCACCACGAAAAAAATGAAAACTTCCAAAAAAACAACATAATTTGGCACAAAACATAAGTCTATGGACAGATACCGACTCCGGAAAAGTCTCGGACAGATCTGATTTTTATCATGTGACTGAACTTTACCGATCGAAATATTATCGCTATAGCAAAGCCTTGAAATATAACATATTTACGTATATAGCATTTACTCATTTTATTAGAAACGCTTTCTGATTATAAAGCATTCACAAACGCCTCACAGGTATCCCAAATACTATGAAGTAACGGAACAGCCATGACGTTGATGTACTACCACTGAGGTCGACGTAAAAAAATATAAATACATGTAAGACAAAAAATTACTTTTATTTGCTCCAATTCTCAGAATCAATCCTTATTATCTCTCTTTGTAACCCAAGCTTCCACTATAAATTTCGAATTTACTGTTTCACTTGAATGAAGACAGTAGGCAGTCACATGATAAAATCAGGGGTCGGTATCAGATCTGAATCACATGATGAATCTGTCCGTAGACTTCCCATGATCAAAGGACACATGATCTGCGCCACCTAAATTGTGGCGTGTGGCTGATATATCTAATGCCTATGAAAATATCTTTTGTGCTCTAACAAAAAATGTTCCTTGTTATAACATGTACTTTTTTTCTAACCCTTTATTAAAATTTTCATCATCCATGCGCCACAAAAAACTTTCACATGAGATTGTAATTGAAAATTTTGGTGTATATGTTGTACGATTTGCCTCAAATCACATATCACGTGCTCATTTTCGACCAATCTCCCAGCATTAACGTTAACCCAAACCCTAACTCTAGTAATATCCTAAATTAGTTGATGCAACAACTAACCGTTTGGATTCGGTATAATGGGGCCGGAATTATATATCGTGACATCTATTACGTGTTTAATGTGGGGGATCATGATGAAGAACGGATTATGGTGAAAATTTGCAATATCTATTATAATAAACTATAAATAACAATTATACTCATAAATTTACATAGTATTTAGCAACATAAATATTATTGCAAAATTAATTTAAGTCATATATTTTATGCATTTATCATTATTTTCAAAATATTACTCTTTTATTATAAGAAATTATCGATAATTCTGGCCAAATGATCCCATGATCTGCACAAGTTTGGCCAAAATTTTCACCATAATCCGTTTTTCATCATGATCCCCTCACGTTTCTCACATTTAATAAATAAAAGGTAAAATGATTGTTCAAATCGATCGTTTTTTGTCAACTTTATCGTGTATGTAAACTCTTCGTCTAATAAAAGTTTATTATATATGCCACTTTTTTTTTGGATAAATCACAAAAATTTAATCACGATTAAATTCAGAATTCAAAAGACCATTTAGATTTTAATAATAGTATAGTTAATAGGAAATAAAAATTAAGAGTTCATGTCAAAAAGATGAGCGAATCTAATGAACAAAACGAGTGTATATTTGAGAAGGAGAATAAATATTTGATGCAAATAAAGTATGTAACATTATCTGAGTAGGTTTCGAATATGAAAAAGATTAAAAGACGAAATGAGGCATATAATATGTAACCAAACCGAAAAGGTAGAACAGAACTGGAGATTACGAAGAAAGAGAAAGAAAGAGAAAGGTAGAGTTTGTATACGATAAGTTGCTCAAAGTGTCATTTTGATTTGGAATGAAATATCGCAAGTTGTATTTATGTCTTGTTGATGTTGCATTGTGCTTCTGCCAGGATTTCATAATCGGCATCAATGAGTCATTCAAAATAAGATATAAAAATTGAATCTGCGTACGGTCGAGTTTCTCCGAAGGGAGAAGATAAAAAATATGCATGAATTAAAGAAAATTAATAAGGATCTTTCAATAAAAATAAACGAATGATAATAATGAATATAATGCAACATTCATAACGATAAATGTGCAATCTGCATGTATAGAAAAATGACGCGTTATGATTCTGAATATGTGACTAATAAAAATATTAGAGAGAAATAGTATGAAAAATAATAATACTGTGCTTTAAAAATAAAAAACAGAAAATAAGTACGCAATAAATACATAAACGAGAATATTGAATATTGAACAAAACAGCAAATGACTACTGGTTCATTATTAACGATATGATTCTAAGAGAACAATCAAAATGTCATTGTCATTTTGATTTGATGTGGTAATAAACGCGTCATTGAAAATATTATTACTTCCATTTATAATGTTAGAGTGTACTGGTAATGGTGGTGGTGGTGGTGGTGGTTGCAATGGTTGATTTTGTCGTGGGTTATTCTGCATGATTTTTAATTATATTAATTTAATAGAGATAAGTGAAAAAAGGAGCTTTTTAAAGATATATTTTCTTCAGGCAGTATTGATACGATATTTATACGTTTTTGTAAGCAATAGTCATATATGAGATTACTCCAAATCGATTGCGTTGAAGAAGATATGAATTTCCACACCAATAATTCACTTTGTTAAAAGTTTGACAGTTTTTTTTTCATTATCACGAAACGCGATTATTTTTTTGTCATGAAACGTGATTTATTTTTTGTAAACCAAACAAATCCACACGCAATTGGAGAATTCGCAACTTCCAAAAAAATCACATATTGTCTTGATCTACAGTCAGACCTCCATAAAAGAACAACCTCTATATAAGAACATATTTTTGAGAACCAATGAATTAGTATTTATGAACAACCTCTATGATAAAACACAATTTGGCTGTCCCAACTGTGTTCCTTTATGGAGGTTCAACTGTATTGACTAATTACCTAATCAAGAACTCCAAGCTCCATATGGCTTTAATTTTCTTCCAATTCCCGAAAACTGAACAAAAACCATTTATTACACTATCATTACATCGCTTCATTATTTTAAATTTTTAACCTTATCTCAATCGGCCGAACAAAAAATAATCACATCTATAAGCATATATCATACACAAGGGAACATTTTGTAATTTCAATTTTAGCATCGGGAAAGCCGCTTAAGCGGAAATTAATTGTCGGAGAAAATAATACCAGAGTTTCAGTTGCTAACTTTAACTTTAATCAGATTAATTGTCGGAGAAAATAATACCA